CAATGTTGATATAAGTTCCAGATATGCACTCCTCCATGTATCCCATGCAGACCTTTTACCCCTCTCACAAAATGACGAGACAGTGTCACATCCCGTGAAGGCGTGGAACAACGGTAATGCCTAAAGAAGTTACCATGTCATGCATTGGAAGAAGTCTGAAATGTTTTCCTATCCCAAAACCAATCCAGAGTTCGTCCAAATCAATCTCATTGTAATTTGACAAGGCTAATGCTACAACATCTGTGTCTACTGTACGGAGTAGCACCTTTCGATATCCATTTGTATGCATGTCTTCTACATGGACAAACATTCGACTGTCTGTCTCTTAGTGGTTACAAATGGCTGTTATTACTTCCAGGTCCCCTCTGACTTCACGATCAGGGCAATCTCACTTTGTGTTGTAGAAATTTTCTAACAAGGAACTGAAAGAGTTCTGTCTTATTGTTGTCATTACGAAGAAAATCAAACCAATTCTTTGGAAGAGGAGTCGCACCATTGACACGTCTCCTGATTCCAGGCCCTCTTTCAATCCTGGTGCCAAGCTCCCTTTAATATAGATGTCAAAAACAACATCAACACGTTTGACGTCATGTATCTGGTTCATTGCAGCACCATTAAAAACACCAGCCTGTACCACAGGGTGGTCTTCTTTCTGTGGAGTTTCTGCCTCGAGGCATTTCATGAGGTCCGATTTGGATGTGTGACGAAGCTGTCTGTTTGCTGACAGGGAAGGGGAGCAACTTTGGTTTTCAAGTTTGAAAAATTCTTCAAGGTTTCCATTCCTTGTTTGACAGGCGATATACAATCTCGAGAATAATGAACAGTTCTGAATCGTTTGCAGTTTCTGTGAACCCCTTTTCACAATGATCCCTCTTGGAATCAGGCAAGCTTGTTCCTTTTAATTGGGGGAAATACAGGTGTTGTTCTTTTTATCAGTCTCTCTTCAATGAACTGTTGAAGCTTATCTCTCCCATGCTTTTCTATTTCCTGTACAGTCTTCACCATGCTTGTAGTGGCAATTTCCTTTGTATACAGAACTAATAAGTCCTCACTTCTTTCCAAGAACGGATTGTCGAACTCTTCAAACCATTGACTAGAGATGTACGTCATTCAAAAACTTGATTTGGTAGCCTGATTGTTGTTCATGATGACGGAACCCTTCTAATGTGACATCATGATTGCCCGCCCATGCCCGCTTCAAACTCTTCTACAAGTCTCTGGACCTGCAACCACCCATCGCCGCATGCGCAATGCGCCAGGGTTTTCTGTCAGTCCTGTGGTATTATTTTGTCCATGTGCATGGTCGATAGCTATAGCTGAAGACTTTCAGGTCTTTTTTTTAATTTACAATAAAGAGACCACGTTGAAATTCTTCAGATATCACGGAGATGTACTGCCAACCATCTAGCATAGCTTACATGATTGAAGGCAAAGGACCAATGGATTATCTTCTTCAGAGCATCAACGTATAGGGCAAAATTCATCTCCCTGTTAATTCTGACAAAGAGAAGGACTGTGATTTCCATATCAAGTACCATGTTCCAGTATTTGAACTGATGTGATGATGCTGACCTTATCTCTTTCCATATTATTAAATCAAGAGGATGGTCTTCCAGCATGTTGTTTTCAGAAAATTCCACATTAGCCTTTTCTTGAAGAATGTGAAGGTATGCTGCTGTGACTTGGTGTGCATATCTTGTTCTCCTAATACTGCTTGCTTTCAGGAACGAATCGGCCATTCCAGATGTTGCAACATGTGCCTCAATGAGCACAGAAACCCAACCACTTCCACTCAGCCAGTCTCCTTGTAGACTGATTATATAACTTCAGGCGGCCATCTTGAATGTTACCGGAAGTTAGGATTTCTTTTTCGCATGTCGCATATCTTAAAATGACCAGTGTACATCTTGGATAATGTTCAAGCAAATGGAAACACAAAAATATACCATCCTTTTGTTAAACTTCTGTCTAAATATATTTTTAAACTAATGGCGGCCATCTTGGATTTTACCGGAAGTAAGTATTTTTTCGGATGCCTCCATATCTTAAAATGACCGATGTACATCTTGGATAATGTTCACACAAATGGTAACACAAAAATATACCATCTTATTATTTAACTTCTGTCTAAATATATAATATATAACCTCATATTTAGATTTTTTAAACTAATGGCGGCCATCTTGGATTTTACCGGAAGTAAGTATTTTTTCGAATGCCTCAGTATCTTAAAATGACCAGTGTAAATCAGAGACCCTATGTACCAAATTTCATGTTTTAATCATAAAGTGCAGAATTCTTATGATTTTGGCTCTTATCGGCTGGACTAAATAGTCTCTTAATTGATACATTTTATCACGGTTGCTAAGTAACGACACTTTTCAAATGCAGTCAGCAGTTTACAATCACAATTTTAGCCCTGTAGGTGGGGTATCGGGAAAAGAATGGACCTGCTGTAACCCGCTGCATGCATTGTAGGAGGCGACTAATGAGAAAGAAACCTGCAGAATTGGGGATTTGCTTTGGTGTCCTCTATTTGGGGATACCAAAGCGACCAAAATATATATCATTTAACTTTCTTTCTACTTACCTTTTATATCCTAGCGCCTTGCTTGGCAACACCGCACGTATAGCCTTAATGTTTAGCGTTCGCCCAGGTGAGGAAGGCAATGGGTTCTATCATCAGGCCGGGGCATACCAAAGTCCTTAATAATGGTAGTTGTTTTTCCCGGCTTAACGTTCAGCATTTAGAGGAATAAAAACACCTGGTTCACCCGTTGCCAGTATAATGTGACCGGGCGGAACGCTGTGCTGGGTGCCTTCGGCATGGTATTTCAGTGAGATAATACTATTAAGTAGGCATCAGATCCGCGCTATCACATGGAGGCAAGCACACCAACATATTCTGTCTCCTACATGCATACACGCAAGCACGCATACACTACACACATCGAGACACGTCATTAAATGACCTTAGCTGTTAGTAAAATTATATCAAACTAAACCCAATTTAGCAATTTTGAATTGCAGCCGATTAATTTGGCAGAAAGCGGTGAATGCCAAAAGAATATTTTAGGTATAGGATAAATCTCGAGCAAACGTTGGTTAAGTGATTTGGAAGCTCAGCCTGTCGAGTGCCGATAGGCCCGAGACAGGGTGCTTCCAAATCACTTAACCAACGTTTGCGAGGGATTTATCCTACTTAAAAACTTTCATATCCCAATTGGACCCCTAAACCTGGTATAGGTGGACAGTTGGATAATCAGTGAATGGAGTTGTTTACCTGTGTTGTCCACACTTGTAATATGCACTCACTGACACAAACACATGTTACCCCAAGACATTAGTAAATGCCGATGGTATCCAAATGCGATCCAAATGGTATTGATATGAGCTGAGGTGTTCCGAGGACAAAGGTACCTGTCAAATATTTCCAATGTCATTTCGTGTACTGTGCCAAGTTGTTCAGTTCAGCTGACGATGTTTTTATTACGCAATCGACATTTACCAGTAAACGACCAGAATCCGTTCCTGAACAACTGATGTGAAAAAACCGAACATCGTTCGGATGCGGTCCGCGCGTACAAACGCAGCGGTGTGGAACAGGAGCAAGTAGCCTGCTCTGTTATACAAGGCACGAAACGGAAAACGTCTGGTCACAGTGAGGACACAGGTATCGGTGGCAACAGCAATTCGTGCATCAAAATTCGTAAAGGGGATGTGTTGGTGGAAATACCTGTTTGAATATATATTGTGAAATACGTAAAGCGGATGTGTTTGTGAAAACTGGAAACTTCGGCTAAGTGCATTGTACGTGTATATATTACAACGGCTGATTACCGTGTACCACCAGGTATTAAAGTTGGAATTAAAATTACATTTACTATCTTTCATATTTATTTGTTATCGTTTTCTTTGTTTATCTGTTTTTGTGTCTACAAACCCTTTTCAACAGATGGGCATTCTGGTTACGTTTGATATGACCCTGTGTGACCTGTTGGATAAGTGGTTTGTTTGTTTGTTTGATTTTGTTTAACGTCCTATTAACAGCTAAGGTCATTTAAGGACGGCCCCCCTGTGTGCAAGATGCATGCTCGTAGTGTATGTGTGTGTATTTTGGGAGGCTGCGATATGTTCGTGGATAAGTGGTGATCCATTCATTAAATATCCAACCGCTAGCCGTTGGATAGTATGAATAGGTTACTACTTATCCAAAAGTCACTCAACTTATCCAACGCCTAGCGGTTGAAAAGGTGAACTAGTCAGTTTGTAAACACAATAGGTGACGTAATCGAAAGTTTTTAATTATAGTTATACATTAAGAAGGCGATTATCATCGAAATACTAGTAGATAGGGGCCCATAAATAAGTATAAGCTTGCTCTATATGCGTCATCATACAAACGTGCTCTAAGCGACAGGTTGAAAAAGGTCGATGGATTTAGATATACTTCAAGTTATCGTATCTACAGATGAACCAGGAATGGCAACACGTGATTGACCAGTTAAGTCGTGCAGTCTGTATTATATCGACACGGTAGCGTAGAGAACGTTTTGGAACGAACCTGTACGTCAGAGATCACATATCGGGTATTATTCAAGTATAGCCTTTGGCTGAGGTCGAAATCCAGGTATCGACCGAAATTAAAGGCTACAATTGTTTTATTATTTTCAAAACAGTGATGTAAGCAATCGGAAAAACCCACACAACAAATAAAACTTCGGAAGCGGGACGGTGTGTTGTTCGGAGACACGTCATAATTCCTTTTTTAGAAACACCCAGTCCTTCAACAAAAATCACGCGCTCCAAGTCAATATCGGTTTTCATCTGTGAACACGTGATGCACTCCTGGCCAATCACTTGTTGGGAATAATATGAAAAAATGATAAAATACTATAACACAGTAAACACACACTCGCGTTCATATATCTATGTTAATAATATTTTTAACTTGCATATCGTTCGTAAGTAGCATTTTTTAGCAAACAGGAGATACAAACCGCTTGTTCTGAGATTCGTTTCTTCACGACAAACACGTACATTGATTGCTGGTACTCACACATACAGCAGGTCTAGTTCGGGACAACACAGTAGTTCAAAGTCTACATCATCTAGCTACCACAACTTAGTCGACATTTTGTCTGTCTGCTGAATTAAAGATCAACGGTTCTAAATCCGGTTTGGTCGCTTTGAGTCCATCTATTGATGTGTCCGTCATTCTGACATTAGTCTATCACATGTGTATGTATGGTTTCTCCGCTGTTTACTCCCACACCAACATACCCTGTTCCCTGCATACACACACGCAAGCACACTTATATACAACACACATGGAGGCACGTCCTTAAATAACCTTAGCTGAGGACGTTAAAGGGACATCACGTGAAGAGCCATTTTTTTTTTAATGAATGTATGTATTGTATGCACTTCCACTTATGTTACCTCGCTATCCCCATATTCATAGTCCGTTCCAAACATTTGAATTGTTAGGAAAAGCCCTGCTAAAAATAGCGCCGATAACGTCGGTCCGGGCGAGATGAAACGGTTTCCAAAGGGGCCCCCAGAGAGGGGCGTCAGGCAACTGCAACTTCTTAACGCAGTATGAAGCCAAGTAATATGATTTCTAAGTCCGTATTAAAACTTATTGAACAGTAGTTATTCATCATCAGAAGTTAATTGCACACTTGCCAATATTCAGAATTTAAATTTATTTAGCTTTAAACATATTTGTTGCCAATTAAATTGAACATGGGATGGGGCACACGTTTTTACAATTTATCACAGCCTTCGCCCGTCATACATTTACAATTAAATGTCAACAATGATAATAGGCATTAACATAAAGTATACATATATCAATATGTATTGAATTTAGTACCGGAATGTGACAACTGTACGGGGCTAAACACCTTTCTTCAACCATGGGACAAACCTTTCTTTAAAAGGAATATTCACGAGACGAATATCCCTGTTCAAATGTTTTCATAAAGTGCATAATTATATGCAATGACAAACTACACGCGTATAAAAAAGAGAAACGTTTGTGATTTTTTTTATTACATTGTACAACTCAATATCTTTGGCCAATTCTTTTTTCTATATCATGCATATAAATTTATGTATACTCCCTTTCCCACTTTCACTGTCTCCATACGCTAACACTTATTAAGTCATATTAGCCATCACACACACTAAACTGTATGGCAAAACCACTACGTGTACATGTAGAATATGTGTCCGATATGGGACGTGTTGAGATACTTGATAATTGGGGTTTTTTCAGTACTTTTCATAGATTAAAGCATTCTTGTCAATGGACCCTTTTTTATGTTGAGTCAACTTTTCTTTAATCATTTCATTTTTGTCCGAAACAGAAGCCGTAGTTATCGGCAGCACGCGTCATTTTTACAACGTAAACAACTGTTTCTTCCCATGTTTTTAATACGTATTCCGATTCTATCTGAAGTCGAAATTTAATTCTTTATAGAGAAAAGGTTGTTACATGATCATAAATTCTAAGTCAACAACATATGAAAACATAAACTGTTGAAAAATTACGATTCATCCTGGCCTCATGACAAATTCAAACTAACCAGTCACTTATCCCTTCCTTTCGCATAAACCACTGTATAATTATAGAAACACAAAGTAAACTCTCTCCGATACATGCCCATTGACATATTAAACTAAGTTCATCTGTGTTCAAACTCAGACACCTGTAATAATGATTTCGTAACGTACTCCTTGCGCTATCTTTTGACCATTTGGCAACTTTTCGCTTCGTAGCTGACACGGTACAACACTTTTCTTTGGCTTACTTCACACGGCCAGTCATTTTGTTTACAAAGAAATGGTGTGCAATGCGCATGCGCTAGTAGAGGGAAATCCCTGAACAAAACGTTGATCAGACAGGTAGAAATACCGATGATTATCTTAGATTTAATCATTTTTATGAATCTATTTCAGCCAAATCCGATCGTTACTTGATATGTTTATGTAGTATTTGAAAAAAAGACAAAAAAAAAGACAAAAAAATAGTTACTTCAGCATGATGCCTGCCCCTTTAAACAAAATTAGACCAAACAAAACCAGTTCCAGTAAAGTGTGACGCACTATAATTTGTCATTTTAGTGGAATGATAAACAGACAGATTCACTAATAAAAGATAGAAATAAATGTGCCTTATTCACTTAGAGTATCAGTCGCCAACCAATCGTACATAGATGTAACAACTGGTAAACGAGAACCAAAAGAGCGATTTCTGGATTGGAGGGGATTTCAATGTCCCTGACATAGACTGGTCCAATCTCAGCATAACCTCGAATCAATATCCACGATCTGTGTCAACCGCTTATCTCAACCTTGTTAACGAGTGTGGTGTAGAGCAGACGGTTAATTTCCCAACCCGCGGAGATAAAACCCTTGACCTATTTTTCACCAATAATCCTTCCCTAGTCGATAAGTGTAAGCCCATACCTGGAGTCGGCGATCACGATGCCATCCTGATTGACACTTCTTCTAAACCAAGGAGATCTAAGCCTGCACGAGGGACCATCTACATGTGGGATCAAGCTGACCTCACCTCACTTGGAAAGGACACCACAGCATTTGTGAAAAACTTCCTGAAATCACCATTTACCGACATTAACACCTTATGGTTAGATTTCAAGGATGGGGTCTTAACCCTAATGGACACCCACGTACCACACAAACTCACAAGATCAAGGCCTACAAATGCATGGATAAATACCAGCACAAGAAGGTTGAGTCGGCAGAAAAACAGGGCGTTCAGGAAAGCAAAGTCAACTAGCCGCCACCGTGATGTCCGGCGTTACAAGGAATTGAAGGCTGCCTGTCAAAAGAGTATCCGACATGACCACAACACTTACATGCAGGACATCATCAGCCCTGACGCCAAGACCAACCCCAAGAAGTTTTGGTCTTTTGTCAAGGGGAAGAAACAAGAGTCCACCGGAATAGATCCCCTGCGAAACGAGGATGGACTCATTCACAACGACCCCACGACAAAGGCGGACATCCTAAACTCCCAGTTTAAATCTGTTTTTACCAAGGAGAACCTGAGAAATCCCCCAAATAAAGGAGATAGCTCTTATAGCAGCATGCCCCCCATCAACATTACTAGGCCAGGAGTGGAGAAGCTGCTAGGGAACCTTAAGCCACATAAGGCAACAGGGCCAGACGCTGTCCCAGCACGTCTTCTGAAAGAGATGGCCCACGAGATTGCTCCTGCCCTCTCCCATATCTATCAGAAATCCCTAAACGCAGGCATGGTTCTGGATGACTGGAAAAAGGCGCAAGTGGTTCCGATCTCCAAGAAAGGCGACAAGAACAAGGCCTCCAATTACAGACCGGTCTCCCTTACCACCATATGTTCCAAGATCCAGGAACACATCCTGCACTCCAACATTATACGTAGCTTGGAGCATCATTCCATCTTGACAGAAGCCCAACACGGATTCCGGAGTAGGCGCTCATGCGAAACGCAGCTTATCTACACCGTGCACGAGCTTGCGAAGGGCCTTGCCGAAGGCACACAAATCGACGTCATCCTCTTGGATTTCTCCAAAGCCTTCGACAAGGTGCCTCACCAACGCTTACTCCACAAGCTGGCCTACTACGGAGTCCGCGATAACACATTAAAATGGATAAGCAGCTTCCTGTAACAGGACACAGAGAGTGTCAGTGGAAGGGTCAACATCTTCAGAGGCATTAGTAGATTCAGGTGTCCCCCAAGGATCGGTGTTAGGCCCGCTCTTGTTTTTGGCCTTTATAAACGACCTACCAGATGTCGTACAGTCTCCAGTCAGACTCTTTGCTGACGACTGCGCCATATATCGCATCATCAACAATAGTGAGGATACTGCCATCCTACAGGACGACCTCAATGCCGTGCAAAAGTGGGGGCTAGACTGGCAGATGGAGTTTCACCCGGACAAGTGTATCACCATCAACATTTCCAGGAAAAGAAACCCTATCCACACCGACTACAATCTCTACGGCCAAACCCTAGAGACAGTCCCCGGAAGCAAATACCTTGGAGCCTATATCAGCTCGGATCTCTCCTGGCGTGAGCACATAAACCAAACCTCTGCCAAGGCTGCAAGATCAGTTGGATTCCTTCGGCGAAACGTTAGGGGATGCACAAGAGAAGTCAAGGCCCAGGCTTATACTACTCTCGTTAGGCCCGTGCTTGAGTATGCCTCCACTGTCTGGGATCGCCATCTTCAACAACAGAAGGACCAACTTTAGAGAGTCCAGATTCGCCACAGGGGACTACTTCAACAGAGAACCAGGATGTGTCACAAACATGCTGCGTCAACTAGCTAGGGAGCCACTAGAGCAACGAAGAGCCAGAAACAGGATGCCCAAGTTCTACAAAATTATCAACAATCTGGTTGAGGTAGCAATACATCAGGACATTACCGTAACATCAGGAAGAACCAGAGGAGCTACTGCTAACAACATACGGCAAATTCCAACAAAGCTCGACACATACCGATACTCGTTTGTACCACGTACCATCATCACATGGAATGCAATCCCGCCCGACATACGATCGTCTCCCACCCTGGACAGCTTCAGGCACGCACTCGTACAGTACGAGGCAGCCGACCACCAATACGCTATGTAGACCCCACTGTTTTTTTTACCTCTTTTAAACTGTACATACGGAAGTTTTAGCTGCGGTCGGCATAAGTCGCGCTGGAGAACTCAACACTCTAGATAGAGTATTCTCCATTAAAGGAAGAAGAAGAAGAAACGGCTATAAGCTAAACTAAATACCTAATTACTTAGCAGCTGCTTCTTAGGTGCACGTAAACTAAAATCTGTATTGCGGTATGACTCGTACAGGTAGCTAATCAAATGATTCATTAAGTGCAAAGCATATGCATGCATATTCACAAAAGATATGTACTGTGGCCTGTAGCGTACAGGTAGTTAATCAAATGCAATGAAGAGAACACCACTAGTTTGATGTAAGGCTCTTCCTCCCATGTGCGATGGTTTGGACTCTCTGCAGATGACTTGTTATTGTATCATATATGCCAAGTGCAGGGCATCGTCATAGTTTAAAGGGGTGGTAATAAGTGAAATGTTTTGATGTACGACTCGGTGTAGAAACAGACGTAAACATAACCCCTCCTTCGTCTTCTACTGATGTACATTCAATAAACCAAAATTGATCTTCTACTCCAATTGGAATACTTGGCATCTTTATCTTCCGGTGTGGCATCCTAAAGCAACGGCCCTCATATGACCATATAGCTGTTTCGAGGACTTGAGCCCGCCCTAGCAGACCGGAGGTAAACCAATGAATCACAATTATTAATTAGTAGTATACTTATCATTGTGAAGTGTTGGTCAAGTATTATTGAACACCATTTGCAACATATTGGCAGTCATTTATAAATAAAGGTAAACCGCTTATCTATTTCCTATTGTCATCCATTTGTCAATGTGAACCATTAACTAGTCTCATCCGTTTTCAATGTGAACAATTTGTTGACTGTCATTCAAAAATAAATGTGAACCATTTGTGATCTGTCATTCATGAATAATTGTTAACCATTTGTTATCTGTCATCCATAAATTAAGATGAACCATTTATTGTCTTGAATCCTTTTATTTAATTGAACCATTTGTTGTCTGTCATCCATAAATTAAGGTGAACCATTTGTTGTCTATCATCCATTAATTAAGATTAACCATTGGTTGTATGTCATCCAATTTATTAGGTGAATCATTGGTTGTATGCCATCCATTTAATTAGGTGAATCATTTGTTGCCTGTCATCGATAAATTAAGGTGAACCATTTGTTGTCCGTCATCAATTAATTAAGGTTAACCGTTGGTTGTCTGTCATCCATTTAATTAGGTGAACCATTTGTTGTTTTTTATCCATCAAATAAATGTGAACCATTTCCATAAATTATGGTGAACCATTTGTTGTATGGCATCCTTTTATTAAGGTGAACCTTTTGTTGTCTGGCATCCTTTTATTAAGGTGAACAATTTGTTGTCTGTCATCCTTTTATTAAGGTGAACCATTTGTTTTCCCGTCATCCATTAATTAAGGTGAACCACTTGTTGTCTGTCGTCCTTTTATTAAGGTGAACCATTTGTTTTCCCGTCATCCATTAATTAAGGTGAACCACTTGTTGTTTGTTATCCACCAAATAAATGTGAACCATTTGTTTTCCCCGTCATCCATTTATTAAGGTGAACCATTTGTTGTCTGTCATCCTTTTATTAAGGTGAACCATTTGTTGTCCGTCATCCTTTTATTAAGGTGAACCATTTGTTTTCCCGTCATCCATTAATTAAGGTGAACCATTTGTTTTCTCGTCATCCATTTATTAAGATGAACCATTTGTTGTTTGTTATCCATTAATTAAGGTGAACCATTTGTTTTCTGTGATCCATTAATTAAGGTGAACCATTTGTTGTCTGTCATCCATTTATCTAGGTGAACCAATTGTTGTCTGTCATTAATTAATTAAGGTGAACCATTTGTTTTCCGTCATCCATTAAATAAGGTGAACCATTTGTTTTCTGTCATCCATTGATTAAGGTGAATCATTTGCTGTCTGTCATTTATTTATTATCGTTAACCGATTGTTTTCTATCATCTTTTTATTAAAATGAACCATTTGTTGTTTGTAATCCATCAAATAAATGTGAACCATTTGCTGTCTGCCATCCATTCACTAAGGTGAATCATTTGTTGTCTGGCATTCATGAATAAATGTTAATCATTTGTTATGTTATTTATTTTTATTAAGGTGAATCATTGGTTGTTTGCATCCATTTATTTAGGAGAACCATTTGTTGTCTGTCATCCATTTATTAAGGTGAACCATTTGTTGTCTGTCATCCATTGATTTAGGTGAACCATTCGCTGTTTGTCATTTATTTATTAATGTTAACCGTTTGTTTTCTTTTATCTTTTTACTAAAATGAACCATTTGTTTTCTGTCATTCATAAATAAATGTGAACCATTTGTTGTCTGTCATTTATTATATTAATATAAACTATTTGTTGTTTTTCATCTATTCTTTAATTTTAACTGCTTGTCATCTATTCATATTTTTAAAAGTTCTACTACCTTTGAAGAATAAAAACAAAACATTTACAAAAACATTTCATTTTATTTCACAATTGACAAAATAAATGCTGACATGATATTATGTATGATTCTATCTAGAGTCAGTAATGATTGTACTGCGAGTCAGCAGTGTTAGTCATACATGCTGGAGCCGAACTTGTGGTAGAGGGCAGTCACGTGTCGTTTAAATGGATCCACTATAAGGTAAGAAAATGTCTGATTGTGGGGTTTGTCAGCTGGGTAGTACATGTGGCCGTCGTTCTAAACAGAATAAGTACAGCACATATTAGTTTATTGTACATTGATACATGTTTTTATATCTAATATCTAGGCGAATGACTGACACTTTAGAATATTTGACAAAATTTCATATATATATTTTGAAGACAGCTGAAGGTTTAGAAAAAATATATCAACATCTAAGTTCTGTAGGCTTTTGATACTTCCTACTTACTCCTCGTGATAACAATGGTAAGTAACCTCCTAGTGATAACAATGGTAAGTAGCCTCCTAGTGATAACAATGGTAAGTAGCCTCCTATTGATAACAATGGTGAGTAGCCTCCTAGTGATAACAATGATAAGTAGCCTCCTAGTGATAACAATGGTAAGTAACCTCCTAGTGATAAAAATGGTAAGTAGCCTCCTATTGATAACAATGGTAAGTAGCCTCCTAGTGATAACAATGGTAAGTAGAATCCTAGTGATAACGATGGTAAGAAACCTCCTAGTGATAACGATGGTAAGTAGCCTCCTAGTGATAACGATGGTAAGTAGCCTCCTAGTGATAACAATGGTAAGTAACCTCCTAGTGATAACAATGGTAAGTAGCAAGACTTGAGTGTTTAGTGACATTCAAATAGAGCAAGATAATAACCATGGACCTTGTCTCTTATTGCGGAATTGTTATATTAAATTCACCTATTTTTTGTAAGTTGTGTAAAATACCTACAGCAATTAAATGCAATACAAGTAGATATTATGCATAGTACATGTGGTCATTAACAGACAACTTACTGAAGCCGTCACTTTGAACACACTTGATATTATGCTAAGGTCCTTGGTCTCAGAATTCTTCTGTACACTGTAAGAAAAAAGTGCATGATTTTATAAATAAACATAAAATAATTGAATTATTAAGAGACAACATATGTCCTTTTATGAATGTTGTCAGATGATAAAATATGTCTAGTTCATCTATAAGGTGTCATGTAGTTTTACGTCTCCAAACTCTTGCAAAATTAATTCAATGTAAGTCCGAAACTGTTTCAATATGTACAAACTAAAACTTTAACTGTTTCAGAATGTATAAACTAAAACTTTAACTGTTTCAGAATGTATAAACTATAACTTTAACTATTTCAATATTTTAAAATTAAAATTTAAACTGTTTCAATATGAAAAAACTAAAACTTGTACCTCCCCTCACCTAATGAATTCCTTGTACACCTGTTTTGTTTGGTAAGGGTTCTCACATGATAAATTCCTTGTACACCTGTTTTTGGATGGGTTCCTTGTACACCTGTTTTTGAACGTGTTCCTTGTACACCTGTTTTTGAATGGGTTCCTTGTACACCTGTTTTTGGATGCTTTCCTTGTACACCTGTTTTTGGATGCTTTCCTTGTACACCTGTTTTTGGATGGGTTCCTTGAACACTTGTTTTTGAATGTGTTCCTTGACCCCCTGTTTTTGGATGTGTTCCTTGTACACCTGTTTTAGGATGTGTTCCTTGGATACCTGTTTTGTTTGGTAAGGGGTCTCACATGATAAGTTCCTTGTACACCTGTTTTTGGATGTGTTCCTTGTACACCAGTTTTTGGATATGTTCCTTGTACACCTGTTTTAGGATGTGTTCCTTGTATACCTGTTTTAGGATGTGTTCCTTGTATACCTGTTTTGTTTGGTAAGGATTTTCACCTGATGAGGTCCTTTTATACCTGTTTTGTTTGGTTAGAGCTCTCACCTGATGAGTTACTTGTACACCTGTTTTGTTTGGTAAGGGTTCTCACATGATAAGTTCCTTGTTCACCTGTTTTTGGGTGTGTTACTTGTACACCTGTTTTTGGATGTATTTCTTGTACACCTGTTTTTGGATGTGTACCTTGTACACCTGTTTTGTTTGGTAAGGGTTCTCACATGATAAGTTCCTTGTACACCTGTTTTGTTTGGTTAGGGTTCTCACATGATAAGTTCCTTGTACACCTGCTTGTGGATGTGTTCCTTGTACACCTGTTTTTGGATGTGTTCCTTGTACACCTGTTTTTGGATGTATTCCTTGTACACCTGTTTTTGGATGTGTTCCTTGTACACCTGTTTTTGAATGTGTTCCTTGTACACCTGTTTTTGGATGTGTTCCTTGTACACCTGTTTTGTTTGGTTAGGGTTCTCACATGATGAGTTCCTTGTACACCTGTTTTGTTTGGTAAGGATTTTCACCTGATGAGTTCCTTTTATACCTGTTTTGTTTGGTTAGAGCTCTCACCTGATGAGTTACTTGTACACCTGTTTTGTTTGGTTAGGGTTCTCACCTGATGAGTTCCTTGTACACCTGTTTTGTTTGGTAAGGATTTTCACCTGATGAGTTCCTTTTATACCTGTTTTGTTTGATTAGAGCTCTCACCTAATGAGTTAATTGTACACCTGTTTTGTTTGGTTAGGGTTCTCACCTGATGAGTTACTTGTATACCTGTTTTCTTTGGTTAGGGTTCTCACCTGATGAGTTTCTTGTACACATGTTTTGTTTGGTTAGGGTTCTCACCTGATGAGTTCCTTGTACACATGTTTTGTTTGGTTAGGGTCCTCACCTGATGAGTTCTTGTACACCTGTTTTGTTTGGTTAGGGTTCCCCCCTGATGAGTTCCTTGTACACCAGTTTTGTTTGGTTAGGGTTCTCACCTGATGAGTTCCTTGTACACCAGTTTTGTTTGGTTAGGGTTCTCACCTGATGAGTTCCTTGTATACCTGTTTTGTTTGGTAAGGATTCTCACCTGATGAGTTCCTCGTACGCCTGTTTTGTTTGGTCAGGGTTCTCACCGGATGAGTTCCTTGTACACATGTTTTGTTGATTAGGGTTCTCACCTGATGAGTTACTTGTATACCTGTTTTCATTGGTTAGGGTTCTCACCTGATGAGTTCCTTGTACACATGTTTTGTTTGGTTATGATTTTCACCTGATGAGTTCCTTGTATACCTGTTTTGTTTGGTTAGGGTTCTCACCTGATGAGTTCCTTGTACACCTGTTTGGTTAGGATTTTCACCTGATGAGTTACTTGTATACCTGTTTCGTTTGGTTAGGGTTCTCACCTGATGAGTTACTTGTATACCTGTTTTCTTTGGTTAGGGTTCTCACCTGATGAGTTTCTTGTACACATGTTTTGTTTGGTTAGGGTTCTCACCTGATGAGTTCCTTGTACACATGTTTTCTTTGGTTAGGGTTCTCACCTGATGAGTTCCTTGTACACATGTTTTCTTTGGTTAGGGTTCTCACCTGATGAGTTACTTGTACACCTGTTTTGTTTGGTCAGGGTTCTCACCTGATGAGTTTCTTGTACACATGTTTTGTTTGGTTAGGATTCTCACCTGATGAGTTACTTGTACACCTGTTTTGTTTGGTTAGGGTTCTCACCTGATGAGTTCCTTGTACACCTGTTTTGTTTGGTTAGGATTCTCACCTGATGAGTTCCTTGTACACCTGTTTTGTTTGGTTAGGGTTCTCACCTGATGAGTTCATTGTACACCTGTTTTGTTTGGTTAGGATTCTCACCTGATGAGTTCCTTGTACACCTGTTTTGTCACCTCTAGGTAGGGATCAATGTTGTCCTCATATTGGCAGATCTTCCCTCCTAGACAGAAGTGTGTGAACAGACAGAACAGGAACTCTTCCCTCTCACCATCACTATATATACAGTAGTTGTCGGAGTCGTCAATCAGCAGCAGCTAGAACAGACATAAACACTAAAACTCATCTACACATACCTGGTACTGTATACCACGACGTATATTTTTGCTATCCAAAGTTTTATTCTGAACTTACAATACAGGGAAGATGTTAAGAAGAGCATTGCTAGTGGTCTTTTAGACAGAAAAGAACATAAACACAAAGTTTTTTTGCCAATGGTTTAATACACCAATATAAACTTTAAGGTATTTCTAAACATTTTCCTCAGGTTGGTAAGTATGGATTATAAGTTCTTTTTACACAACAAATAAAATATGGTCATGGCATAGCAACAGCCATGAAGCCCCACAAGACGCTTCGCAATATCCTAGTACACCCTAAGGATAAAACACCTATAGAAAACGTCGCAGAATGCGTATAGAAAATCGGATGCAGAAACTGTGACGCGTCGTATATTGGAAAGACTGGAAGACGATTTGGGGTCCATCTTGGTGAACACCGGAAATAATAAATAGATAAATAAATTGGCAATAACAGACCATGCCACACAGAAAAAAACATGTGATTGACTGGGATAACTCGAAAGTTTTAAACAGAGAGAGCAATCTGTTTAAGCGGCAGATAAAGGAAGCCATCTGGATACGCCACAGTGGGGCCAGTTCTAAATCGAGACGAGGGGGCTCAAAGACTCTCGCACATCTATGACCCAGTATTGTACTTAAGTTTCCAGCATAGCTGAAATCGACATCGCTTTTATGGCCAACTCGTACACATTTTACACCTTTTTGTGCATACGCTTCACTGGTCATTTGTCTGATGAAGGTGACAGTGTACATATCGTACTAGTCATCGTAACGTCACATAGAAAATGTTATTGGTTGTGTAAAAAGAACTTCTCATAATAAACTTTAAGGTTCTGAAGTAATAACAAATATATGCATCAGGGTATTGTGATGGAATATATAACAAGGATGAAAAAAAATTAAAGGAAAGTAACAAGGACTGTTCAGTCTGAGTTATTTATTTTGTTCAACATGATCTAGATCATCTAATTGTGGAAATAAGATTGTTTTTTGTCTGTGCAAACATTTGTCATGTGATGCCTCGTCACCAACAATACTTTCTGGATGCTGAAGCAAGTTAATGTTATACCAATTTAATGTGGATATTTGTTGAAACATAAAGATGTGTACATGCACATGTGTACCCTCACCCTCACCAAACAGCAATAATTTGTCTAACATCAGTCACATACTGCTAATTTTCATACACTTCAAATCCGCTGGAGCAATTTAGAAGAGCTCATCAAGATGTTTTTTGAAGTGTTTTATAACACAATGAGATGCTTAATGATACCATACTGTATATCCACAGAGTTCAACCTAATGTCCATACCTTCCGCAGTTCATCTGAAATTGTGAAGTCTTGATAGAACTCGTCAAAACATTTCCGAATGGCACCATTCTCTCTGACAATATCATTGTCAGTGAGTCTGTCGAATAGAGTCATGGATAACACAGTGCAGGGAACAACTTCAGCCGTTACACTGGTGGCAGATACACCTGTAAAACAAAGATTAGTTTAGATAACTTCCACCATCACACTGGTGGCAGATACACCTGTAAAACAAAGATCACTTTAGATAACTTCCGCCATCACACTGATCGCAGATACACCTGTAAAACAAAGATCAGTTAAGATAACTTCCACCGTCACACTGGTGGCAGATACACCTGTAAAACAAAGATTAGTTTAGATAACTTCCACCATCACACTGGTGGCAGATACACCTGTAAAACAAAGATCAGTTTAGATAACTTCCACCGTCGCATTGGTGGCAGATACATCTGTAAAACAAAGATCACTTTAGATAACTTTCACCGTCACACTGGTTGTGGATACACCTGTAAAACAAAGATCAGTTTAGATAACGTCCACCGTCACACTGGTGGCAGATACACCTGTAAAACAAAGATCAGTTTAGATAACTTCCACCGTCGCACTGGTGGCAGATACACCTGTAAAACAAAGATCAGTTTAGATAACTTCCACCGTCGCACTGGTGGCAGATACACCTGTAAAACAAAGATCAGTTTAGATAACTTCCACCGTCGCACTGGTGGCAGATACACCTGTAAAACAAAGATCAGTTTAGATAACTTCCACCGTCGCACTGGTGGCAGATACACCTGTAAAACAAAGATCAGTTTAGATAACTTCCACCGTCGCACTGGTGGCAGATACACCTGTAAAACAAAGATCAGTTTAGATAACTTCCACCGTCGCACTGGTGGCAGATACACCTGTAAAACAAAGATCAGTTTAGATAACTTCCACCGTCGCACTGGTGGCAGATACACCTGTAAAACAAAGATCAGTTTAGATAACTTCCACCGTCGCACTGGTGGCAGATACACCTGTAAAACAAAGATCAGTTTAGATAACTTCCACCGTCGCACTGGTGGCAGATACACCTGTAAAACAAAGATCAGTTTAGATAACTTCCACCGTCGCACTGGTGGCAGATACACCTGTAAAACAAAGATCAGTTTAGATAACTTCCACCGTCGCACTGGTGGCAGATACACCTGTAAAACAAAGATCAGTTTAGATAACTTCCACCGTCGCACTGGTGGCAGATACACCTGTAAAACAAAGATCAGTTTAGATAACTTCCACCGTCGCACTGGTGGCAGATACACCTGTAAAACAAAGATCAGTTTAGATAACTTCCACCGTCGCACTGGTGGCAGATACACCTGTAAAACAAAGATCAGTTTAGATAACTTCCACCGTCGCACTGGTGGCAGATACACCTGTAAAACAAAGATCAGTTTAGATAACTTCCACCGTCGCACTGGTGGCAGATACACCTGTAAAACAAAGATCAGTTTAGATAACTTCCACCGTCGCACTGGTGGCAGATACACCTGTAAAACAAAGATCAGTTTAGATAACTTCCACCGTCGCACTGGTGGCAGATACACCTGTAAAACAAAGATCAGTTTAGATAACTTCCACCGTCGCACTGGTGGCAGATACACCTGTAAAACAAAGATCAGTTTAGATAACTTCCACCGTCGCACTGGTGGCAGATACACCTGTAAAACAAAGATCAGTTTAGATAACTTCCACCGTCGCACTGGTGGCAGATACACCTGTAAAACAAAGATCAGTTTAGATAACTTCCACCGTCGCACTGGTGGCAGATACACCTGTAAAACAAAGATCAGTTTAGATAACTTCCACCGTCGCACTGGTGGCAGATACACCTGTAAAACAAAGATCAGTTTAGATAACTTCCACCGTCGCACTGGTGGCAGATACACCTGTAAAACAAAGATCAGTTTAGATAACTTCCACCATCACACTGGTGGCAGATACACCTGTAAAACAAAGATCAGTTAAGATAACTTCCACCGTCGCACTGGTGGTAGATACACCTGTAAAACAAAGATCAGTTTAGATAACTTCCACCGTCACACTAGTGGCAGATACACCTGTAAAACAAAGATCAGTTTAGATAACGTGTCGTCACACTGGTGGCAGATACACCTGTAAAACAAAGATCAGTTTAGATAACTTCCTTCGTCACACTGGTCGAAGATTCACCTGTAAAACATTGACCAGTTTAGGTATTAAAGTACAGAGACAGTGTAAATGTGCTACACAGATTTGAAATCTATGATCCACCAATCTATAGACACTAAATCTATAGACACTAACAGAATGATCTAATCACAGGCAACAGATCAAGTGCAGATCTAGTTACTATAGTATTGCTTAGAATCTTGTGTAGCAAGCAAGATATGCTGATCAATTTTGTTAGGTAACAAATTGTTGTTATCTTTCCTAAACGCATCTTACAATTTATCTTTTATTTTGAAATAGACCAACAGTTTCTGGTTTACACTTAACATTTATTAAAAATAATAATGGAAGTGACGCCTAATTGAAATCTGTCCAGATCCTACAAGTTCTGTCCAGATAGTTTATACTGTACATGATCTAGAGGGGGATTTAACAGTGTTTTGGTAATCGACAAAATGGAATAAAAGGAAATGAGTGGTAAACAAATAACAATTCTTTTCAGGGAGACACAACTTCATATCATAATTATAATGTATACCAAGTTTCAAAGAGATCCGCTGAAAAATGTAGGAGGAGATTGCCGGACAAAATTCAAATAATGAAATGAACAAAGGGCAATAACTTTTGGAAAAAAAGTCAAATCAAAATTCTTTTAAGGGAGACACAACTTCATATCATGATTATAATGCATACCAAGTTTCAAAGAGATCGGTCGAAAAATGTAGGAGGAGATTGCCGGACAAACAAAGTTTACGCCGGACGGATGGACAATGCCATACCATAATACTACCGTCAAATTTATCGGTCGTATAAAAAGAAATTACACATCTACAATTAAATCACTGTACATGTATTTACAGTCTAAATGTTAATCTAAAAGTCAATTAATTAAGGAATTCTTTAATCATCCCTGAATAGCTCAAGTGACATGATATTGACAGATTCACACTTTAACACAGTCTTTGCCAATAGCAACACAGTTTTATCTGAAGTGGATATCGTAAATATCACATTGAACAATAAACTTGCTTGTTTGGGTTTGGTGTCATTGTAACAGATAAGGTCATATGAAGATGGTAATGAATTTTTAAGATAAAACAATTTCTAACCCTATCATAGGGTGACAGACAACCATCCTCAAACGTAACGCCCTATTTCTTTCTTTAATATCAAACCATTTGTCACATGTCATTAGGACAAGTTGAATTTATGTATAGTGTCTAAATGTCAGTGTTAAGATAGCAAGCTCTCTATGGTAAAGGAACTTATACAGGTACGTTATACGGAAACCAGCGGACATTACAGGAGGCATCAGCAGACATTACAGGAGGCCACAATGGACATTACAGGAGGCCACAATGGACATTACAGGAGGCCACGGCGGACATTACAGGAGGCAACAACGGACATTACAGGAGGCCACAATGGACATTACAGGAGGCCACAGCAGACATTACAGGAGGCCACAGCGGACATTACAGGAGGCAACAATGGACATTACAGGAGGCCACAGCGGACATTACAGGTGGCAACGGCGGACTTTACAGGAGGCAACAATGGACATCACAGGAGGCCACGGAGGACATTACAGGAGGCAACAATGGACATTACAGGAGGCCACGGCGGACATTACAGGAGGCAACAATGGACATTACAGGAGGCCACAGCGGACATTACAGGAGGCAACAATGGACATTACAGGAGGCCACGGCGGACATTACAGGAGGCAACAATGGACATTACAGGAGGCCACAGCGGACATTACAGGAGGCAACAATGGACATTACAGGAGGCCACGGCGGACATTACAGGAGGCAACAATGGACATTACAGGAGGCCACGGCGGACATTACAGGAGGCAACAATGGACATTACAGGAGGCCACAGCGGACATTACAGGAGGCAACAATGGACATTACAGGAGGCCACGGCGGACATTACAGGAGGCAACAATGGACATTACAGGAGGCCACAGCGGACATTACAGGAGGCAACAATGGACATTACAGGAGGCCACAGCGGACATTACAGGAGGCAACAATGGACATTACAGGAGGCCACGGCGGACATTACAGGAGGCAACAATGGACATTACAGGAGGCCACAGCGGACATTACAGGAGGCAACAATGGACATTACAGGAGGCCACAGCGGACATTACAGGTGGCAACGGCGGACTTTACAGGAGGCAACAATGGACATCACAGGAGGCCACGGAGGACATTACAGGAGGCAACAATGGACATTACAGGAGGCCACGGCGGACATTACAGGAGGCAACAATGGACATTACAGGAGGCCACAGCGGACATTACAGGAGGCAACAATGGACATTACAGGAGGCCACGGCGGACATTACAGGAGGCAACAATGGACATTACAGGAGGCCACAGCGGACATTACAGGAGGCAACAATGGACATTACAGGAGGCCACGGCGGACATTACAGGAGGCAACAATGGACATTACAGGAGGCCACGGCAGAAATTACAGGAGGCCACAATGGACATTACAGGAGGCCACAGCAGACATTACAGGAGGCAACAACGGACATTAAAGGTGGCAACGGCGGACATTACAGGAGGCCACAATGGACATTACAGGAGGCCACGGCGGACATTACGAGGGCCACGGCGGACATTACAGGTGGCAACGGCAGACATTACAGGTGGCAACGGCGGACATTACAGGAGGCCACGGCGGACATTACGAGGGCCACGACAGACATTACGAGGGCCACGGCGGACATTACAGGTGGCGCACATTACAGGAGGCAAAGGCCACGGCGGACATTACGAGGGCCACGACAGACATTACGAGGGCCACGGCGGACATTACAGGTGGCAACTGCGGACATTACAGGAGGCAACAACGGACATTACAGGAGGCCACGGCGCACATTACAGGAGGCAACGGCGGACATTGCAGGAGGCAACGGCGGGCATTACAGGAGGCCACGGCGGACATTACAGGAGGCCACAGCGGACATTACAGGAGGCAACGGCGGACATTACAGGAGGCAACGGTGGGCATATTACAGGAGACAGTGGCAGACATTACAGGTGCAAACAAGCATCTCTGTGAAAGCTCAAATAACTGATTGTGATAAGATAAAGCCTGTACAAGTTATATCATTGTGTCAATAACAAATGTATTACATGTAGTTGTATTTTGGGCCATGTATGAATGCCAGAATGGTTATTTAACCTGGTTTAATTATATATATATAAATGTAGGCATCGTACTTGGTATTGTGCTTGCATCGGTTCTACATATATATATATATGTGAATGTACGTGTATAGGGTCAGGTTAAGTGTAAATAATCGCCTGGTTAGTTTTATTCTGCTTATTTATGGTATAAATTGATCAGACATTGCTATTCACATATATATGTGTTTGACATTTATTTCATAAATTAGTGTATACTTTTATTATCTTAATGTGTATGAAGTACTCACCAACTGGCGACCAAGAGCAGCTCTCTGACACCGTCTGTAGGGTTGATACTACATTAGGATCCTTCATAAAGTCCTAAAATCATAGATATTTATAACTTCAGAATGTGACCAGGGAATACAGGCAAACATAGTTCTGTTAAGAGTTGTTTCCCTTTGTTAAGTTATTGTTAACCTTAGATATAATTGTACATTATCTCAACTAAGCACAAACTATTGATTAATTCGTGAAAACCTTTCTGCCCTACCCAATGAGGTTGAACTTATCATGACAGCGTATATTAGTACACAACATACAATATACTCAAAACACTAAAAAATACCAAATGTATCCTAAAAACAGCTTAAGGTCAACAGAAGTTTGAGCCAGGCAATGGCTCCTTTAACCCCTTCACCTTTATGTAACTTTAATTAACTCTACCATGCACCGATCTGGATCAGTCCATTATTGTTTTCAGTGGTGAAAGTGGTGAAGTATCATCTCATTGAAATGTCATAACCTGGACATATGATACCTGGTCATTTATTCTGATGTTTGGCCTATTTAAGTTGCCTTAGGATCAAGGCACCATGTGAAATGAGTATATAGAAGAAAAAACAGACAGTGGCCTGCAGTCAGTATTGCAATCGGGAAAGCAGACATTTTTTAGCAGCAGACTTAGGGAATGAAAAAACATTGAAAATCTGTAACAGCTAGGCCATTTAATTTGCCACCACATGATAATTTTCTGATTCATTAGTCTACACTGTAACAATGAGTTAAAATCTCAGTTGATAATGTCCTAGAACTTGCAGATGTGTTTTCAGTTACTGGAAGGAGCTGCAACATTGAAAACCAATGTTTAGTGATAAATTAAACCAGTGAGGTTCAATAGATTTCCGGTAGAGTGTAACAAGATGTGACCATGTGTCCTGTTCCAACACGATCGGATTACATGCTTTATTACATGCAAAGTATATTCAGGTTCAAACAAAAAATACTTACTGCAACAAAATCGTCTTTTTGGTAGGCCTGGAATGATTGGTCAAAGCTATACATCTGACATTTCAATCTTCCTTGCATAGACCTGCAACATTTACAGTGAAGAGAACATTTTTAGAAATTTAATATTTAGTGTGAAGCAGAACTGGATTAGATTGATCGTGGGCAACCTAGTAGCTCAATTGGTAGAGCGTCCATCTAGAGTTCGGAGGGTACCAGGTTAAAACTCTGGTCTTGCCATGCATTTTTTCCATCTTCTGTTACAAATCTCTAGAAATATCTAGTAATGTACACATGTAACAGAGGTCATTATTTTTTCAATGCCTCTGCCAGAAGTCGAACCTAGGACCTCTGGCTTACAAATCCAACACTCTATCAAATGAGCTTAAGAAAAATTCTCCTTAGTCTAGTCAATAGGAAGCTGCTAGTATTTTACCAGGGTGACATAATCCCCATTTCAGGAAAGAAATCTAGAGTTTTTAAGGGGTCATAGCGATTCTTGTGAAAGTATCGCTGAGTATATTTGTCAATATTACCAAGGTCCTTACGTGGGCACCAATGTAACCTAGGTAAAAAAAAAATCAATGCCTCGCCAGTAGTCAAACCCGTGACCTCTGGCTTATTAGTCTTACGCTCTGCTGAATGAGCTGAAGTAAAGAGAAATTCTCCCTAGCAGTAGGAAGCAGATAGTATTTTACCAGGGTGACATGTATCACTCACGTTGTCTCTCTATATATAGACAGTTTCTAGATACAATATTTACACCCTATCATTATTTTGATAGTATAAGTAATAGACTAACTTAGTTATCAAATTCTTATGGAATATTCTAGAAAACATGTGCTTGTTTGAATATACACATAGGCATGGATATGGATATATTTACGGCTTTGGGAACATGAACATGTATTTTTTTTAACTATTTTTAGTCGATAACGCTTATTTAATACCACTAGTAGATCAACATAACATGAAAGATACCATACGTGATTGAACGCGTCTATAGCAACAACACACGATGAAGTATGATTTGGTATTTCTATTTTGATACTTTCAGGACAAAAGAAAGAAAAAGTCCATGAACAATAAACTTGTCTCAGACTGTACCATTTCGTTAAGAGTTCTTTGTTATCTTTATCCTCCACCGATAGAAATTTCTTTCCTCTTAACTCCTGGAATGTGAATTTTGCTCCCTTTCCCTCCATGTTGAATCTTGGTCATGCAGACGTTCAAATATTCTAGTCTTTGTTAGGTTTAACGCTTATGTCCTAAATGCGTCAAAGGACACTGGGAAAAGTATGGAACGTCCGGCCGATATACTAAATTAGTTTATTGACAATACAAAATAGATTTACAGTCATTGGCAAACAAAGAATAAATGCAAGCTATGGCAAATACAACAGATATCCTTTGATATACACACAGTTATAGTTAATTTCCCGCTCGACCCATTTAAGGGGAAGTAATTCAGATTACTGCTGCCTTCATAATGTTAATGCTATAATAATTTACTGACAAAACTAGCAGATACATATAGCCATATCCATAAATAAAATGAATATAAGATATAATAAATAGAAGCAACACATATATTCCACGTACCGTAATATAATAAGTTAGGTAATCACGCTCGGTCTTTTCCGTGCGGTACATTGGAGACGACCGAGTTGCATTTACAGGGAATTAATTCAAATTGCTGCTATTTTCTTGCGTTTGTTTATTTTAGAGACGCTGATTTAAATACTGGTACAGTTTCTTTGTTTTAAGGGATGCGCAATTGTACCTTAAACATTTTGTAATGCCAAAAAAATGGATTACACTAGCTGCACTATACAGCTGTTTCGACCTTATAGGACTCATCGCGAGATCGGTGATGCTCGATGCCAAAAAGGTGAAAATACAAACTGGTCTTAACTACTCTACTGTTGAAACAGAAGGGAATCTTAATAATGTTACCTTTCATGGGATCAGTACTTGTACAGTGTATAAACAGATGATGTATGTAGTTCTTTGTAATCGGACCTGAATTGATCGTTTTCATTAATTATAGTACAGAACAAAATGCTTTCAATTTCATGGACACTATACAAGAATAACATCAACGCATTGATCTAGGAACGAAAATATAATTAAAAAAAACACCTGATTCATTTCATGACAGCTAGATTAAAGTCTTACTGTGAAGACCAAGAAAACCTTCACTATATTAAAGGTTATGCAATTGTTTCTTTTCAAAAGGGTGATTATCTGGATTGGCAATATTTCATATTCCTAAGTAAGAAAAGGCACTACAACGAATTATACTAAGTGAAAGTTGACTATGATTGGACACATGTTTGTAAAATGGGATATTTGGTTTATTCTGTTTAACGACGTATTAACAACAAAGGTTAGTTACGGACGTGCCTCCAAGTGTACAAAATACAATTACCCAATTGAAGTTAAAACAATACCGAGCTATTTCTTTACCGTAAATGTAACTATTATTATGGTTGACTATTGTCTTTAAATCAAAAACACATGTGTTAGCAGTAAATGTTTGGTATGAGAAAAATCATTGCTCTGATACTGGTTACAGCCAGCTTACTATCAACCCAATTCCAAAGTATTCAAGCTGCTCTGTTGATGTTAGGGTGATTATTAAATACATTGTACGAAATACTGAGCAACGAGCACGTGTTTCACAGCTGAACTTTCCAATATATCTGGAATAGTAAAGATAGCATTTAACCAAAACACCATTGTCTTATTCCATTAGTTGTCAAAATGGTTCACTTAATAAACATAAGTCTTTCAGGGGTACATTGTATTTGAATACACGTGATAAAGTAACTGGAAGAAAATTTCATAAGCAGTTTTTATGAGTGGTTTGTGAAAAACGACAGGCCTATATTGTATATTGGAAGCGTTGTAGAAATCTATAAACCACACACGACTGTTTTCTTTCATATTTCTATTGAAATATTTGTTAACAAGCATTTCCCAAACAAATAGGTTGTCCATAGTTCTGTGATCCGAGCTGACACCATATTGATTTGGGCTCGGTAAATCATTATTGTCCACACAATTTACCAACCGATTATTTAATAAACCATTAAATGATTTTCTCGAACCACTAATACACCTCAAGCCACGGGAATTCACGGTCAGTAGGGTAATTTTGGGGGTCTTCACACATTACTCCTAATTACTCCACATTTACTCCACATTTACTTCTCATTACTCCACATTACTCCACATTACTCAACATTTACTCCACATTACTCCACATTACCCCACTCCACATTACTCCACATTACTCCTCATTCACTCCACATTACTCCTCATTACTCAACATTACTCCTCATTACTCCACATTTACTCCACAATACTCCTCATTACTCCACATTACTCCTCATTACTCCACTCCTCATTACTCCTACACATTCCACAGATAAAGGAGCATTCCTTATTACACACGATAGAAATATGCCATGCTGTTATTTTACCAAAAAAGATAAACCTTTTTTAGCAGGTAACAGTTGATTTCGACCCATTTGTCTAATTCAGCTACAGTCTGCCTTAGTTTAAACTTTATTTTATTGATGTTAAATTACAGTAGTACATGGTTATAAATACAGAAAAGGATCCAGAAACAAGTACATAGTACTTATGTAAATCCGTCTCCTTATAGACATAACAGCAGCTATGGATCAGTACTGACAATATTATAATTCATATAAATAAATATAAATATATATAAAGTATAACATGGCAGGGAAAGGAGAAAGGGTGCAAGGATTTATAGTGGGGTGGGGATGATGTTTCATGCGGAAGCGATGGGCATCAAAACTGCATTGAGAGAACAAACGCTGATTGCATAAATACAAACGATATTTGACGAAAGAGCACTGTGTCTGTACATGTTGTGGAAAGTTTATGTAGTATGTTATGAAAACAAATTAAAACTACAAATGCAATTCTTAACTGGCACTAATTATCTGTAACACTCTACGCAGACCAATGCGATATTCAAGTAATTGCAAGTATCATCACAACAAACATGATTACTGATATGAATGAAGTTAAAGTTTCTTTAAAAACGTCTAGACTGAATGATGAAGTTTTGAACACAGTCAAAAATAGTTTCATTTAAGTGAATTGGTAGTTCGGGTCTACCATAAAGTAAAAAGCTTACATTATAGTTATAGTTAGGAGGTAAGCGACTAAAACAGCTACTGGTAGTTAGGACATTGGAGGAGGAAATGTTCTGTAGTTTCAGTAGACAAATTACATGAGCACATGGGACTATCAACTAAGTTTCGTGCAAACAGGTGAGTATTTAAGGAGCTGCAGTTCATCCTAAGTCGCGCATGATGGATCTGACCTTGTCTGCTTCTGCAGTAGTAATAGTGCTGAGGAACACAGAGAGTGTCGGCATTTAGTTTTTTTTTGAGGTTAGTAATTGAGGGATTGTTTTTTACGTTATCTGGTGGTGCATTCCATAAATCAACAGAAGAGGGGAGGAAAGAGTCTTTATATAGATTAGTTAGACAGTTGACTTGACAGAACTTGTTAGCTCTTCTTGTATTGTAAGTATGTATATTTGAATGGCGAGCAGGTAGAACGTTAGCAAGATAAGAAGGGCACTGTCATGACCATGAACAATCTTATGAAATTGGATTAATTTGTGTTTTCTCCTTCGGACAATAAGGGGGTCCCAACCAGATTCTGCATATAGTCTGTCGTGACTTGTGAGTTTGGTTGCCCCAGTCACGATTCTGGCTGCTTCGAGTTGTATGTTTTCAATCAACTGGCTTTGGCCTAAAGTTATGTTGTCCCATACAATATCACCATATTCTAATAAGGGTCTTATAAAAGTATAATATATCGTTTGAAGAGACTTTCTATCAATGATAAATTTTAGATTCCTAATTATGCTAAGTTTTTTAGAGGCTTTACTAATAATGTTTTGAATATGGTCACTCCAACTTCCATTGGCTGAGATAGAGATACCGAGATGTTTATGGCAATTGACTTCAGTTAAAGAAATGTTGTTCATATACAGAGAGGGATGGATCGGTTTTTCGAGTTTCTTACTAACAGTTATATATTGTTACAGTTTTGTTAGGATTAAAATTTACAAGCCAAGTTTTAAACCAATCGTGAATTTTCATCAGATTATTATTTAACAGGTTTGCGGTCGGACCCGGTGACTCCACTTTGACATATAGAGACGTATCGTCAGCAAATAGCTTTATAGTACAATCGATGTCTTATGTACCTATGCCGTCTATCCATCTCCATTCGATAGGGACACTGTTACTTGTGTACATATACAGCTGATATAGATGTATACACCTTGACTGACAGTGAGATGATGGCGCTCTACAGGTAAATAGACGCTCGACTGCTTTTCACTATTGTCTGTCTGCTGTGTATATCTTCAGTAGCGAGTGTGTATGTGGAACTTCAACTGATAACGCTTTTGTAAGTAAAGGTGTCTAATATACACAAATTGGGAAAACCCACACCGGGTTTAAAACTAGTTCCTCACTGATCCATCCCGTCAGGGAGGGATTTACTATAAATAAAGCATTCCTTATTACAAACGATAGAAATATGCCATGCTGTTATTTTTTCCTAAAAGAGAAACTTTTTTAGCAGGTAACAGAATATTTTACGATACGTTTTAACAAAGACACATCCGATAAGAGATATAAGTAGCTAAATAATGAAGGACACATCATTCTGTAACAATCAACGGAAGGATTATGATCTCTGAGACTAATATACCGGGAAGTGTAATGTTGGCAAGAAGTTTAAGAACACCAAGTATATCGTCCAGTTTGAACTCCATATCTGGCAAATACCGGATACACATCACCATACTCAAATTAACGGAAAAAGTTGTACTGTTAGCCATGATCGATGTGTTCTTCACTAGCCATCACCGAGAGGTTTATAACAACGAAAGTCGATATATCAAATACTGTATCAGGATCGTGTCACCGTCAGATGTCTGAAACAGTACCCTTTACATGATGGATGTGTCGTTTCCGTTTGTCGCTATCAACGGCCAGTGCGCATTGACCTTAGACAATTCATCAACAACAAAGCAACCATTCGAGGTATTGCATTAAACATTCAACAATGGAAATATTTACAACAATTAACAACTCGCATAAACATGTCCATTAAATATGCTGGTATGTTCATACATTAGTATTTAAT